ATCTATCTATCTATCTATCTATCAGGTATCATGGTGGACGATCTGGTGATGCAGCTGGTCGGACTCCGGTACACGGAGCCCGATATGACCGTCAGCTATCCCGGCTTCTTGTACCTGCTCATGAAGCTGGAGAGCATGATCCGTAAGTGGCCGCTAAAGCTTAATTTTACAGCCTCGAACGCTCAGAGGAGCCGAAAGCCACAAATTAGAAACACATTTGAATCGCTCCATCGTTCACATCCTGAATGTCAGTAGAAGGCCTCAGAGGGAGCCGAGGACGGCGAGGAGTCGTGGGAAAAAGATGGAGGACGGACGAGAGGCAGATAAGAACGTACAGATGATGTTTGATGGTAGCATATTTCTGTCCTGCAAGATGAGATCTGGATTCACTCAGTTTCTGTCTTCAGGGATTTCGCTTATAATCTCTAATTCAAGTGATTTTTTTGAGAAGACTTCAGTGCCTAAAAGCCGAGGACAAGCTCAGTTTTTACACATTTCATCAATGAAAACTTGTTAAAGATCATTTTTCCGCAGTGAAAATGAGACTGTAACCTGATAAATATTTAAATTTGGAAAAAAAAGTTGTGAAGAAATACATTCTGGATGAAATAAGCTTCACTACAAACAGGATTTAAGATTTTATTTTGCTTTGAATGGTGCTAAAATATGACAGGATGCTGTTTTTCATTCATATCTGTTCTTCTGCGTCTTCGTCATCCTGAATCAGGTGTAAAATTTGACCGTTGTTGAGGCGTGATTCATATACGAGGCCCATTTATTACTCATTCATGCTAATAAAGATGCAGGCATGCGTGCTGTTCCTGTTCTGTGGCGGTTAGATTTCATAAACCTCACTCACCTGAACTGAAAGATGAGACAAGAATGATCAGAAAGCAAAACCGAAGGGGCTGATAGCAGGCAGCAGAAGCTCCTTTTCCTCTTCTTATAACTTATATCAACAAGAATAATGATAAATAAGATAAATCAAGTGTTCTATAAATGTTGGGTTTGTTATTTCTGACATGCAGCTGCTTTTCTCTCAGTAAAACTCCTGATAAACAAACGCCTGAAACCAAAGTGACAGAACGACGACGATAGCTTGGTACGAAAGTGTTTAAACTTGTAAATGTATTCGTCACACTGGGAGGAGGTTCAGTTAGTTTATTTATGTTTTACAGCAATAATCAAACGTCTATGATGCCATTAAACTGTGATATTTACACATTTAGCATCAAGTCGGCGTTTCCTTTGTACGACGGCTCGAGGAAGTTCAGACAATCATCAGAAAACTCCCTCAGGATTCTCCGAACTGTTCTGGTGCTGACTAACTGAATCATTTACCAGATCTTTCTTTCTTCTTCCTCTTCTTTTGCAGACAAATTTCAAGCGTTCGACATGGTGGGGATGGGAACCGTCACCATCAGCTACAGACAGGTACACAGTATAACTTAACCTTCTAACGGCTCTTTGTTGGTTTTAGAAGTGAGCAGTTGTAAATAAAAAAAAAACCTGCAAGACGACTGAACAATAAGCTTTTCTTCAAACATGACATGTTATAAACCTAAAAACCAGAACAAAGCGAAGCCGTGACGGTGACATTTTCAGAAGTCTGCGCTGCTTTCTGCTCGCAACGTCTCAGATTAGTCGAAATTAAAAAAGCAGGTCAAGAATTGTCTTTAGGAAGTAAAACGAATTCTTGACTTTGCAGTAAAACTCTTCTCAGCGAGGCTAAACGGTGCCGACAGAGTTCAGTTTTATTTAAACGACACAGAATCATAAGTTATCTCAGGACATTAAGGTGAAGATGTGACGGTTTTGTAGAAACTCCAACATGCTGCAGCTCGTTTCCAATGTTTTCAGGAGAATCGTGGAAAATCTGGACGACCAAGAAAACTTCCAGATAAAACTGAGCAGAAAGACAAAGACGTTTATTTGTCCAGAGCGAGACAGTTCAAAGTGTTTTACATAAAACACTAAAAGCATCAAGACAAAGTGTAAAAGAAACAGAAAACAATATGGAAAAAATAGTGAAACAGAGAATAAAAAGTAAGATAAAACAGTCACAGTTCACTCTGACAGGTCGATGTCCACCTCTCTGAGCCTGGTTCTGTCAGATTTTTATTTTTGTTTGTTTTTTGTTTCTTCTCTTTGTCACCAAATGCTGTTTAAAGGGAATCCAAAGGGAACTTTTAGTTTGTTGGGTTTCTCTGTTTAAAATTTGTCTTCACGGTCGTATAAAACGTACTTTGAGACGACATATGTTGTGAATTGATGCTTTAACTGAATTGAATTTAAGATACTCCAAAGCTTCAGATTTGGTTAAATCAAAGCAGAGGCAAACGTCCACCTGGATTTAAATGAACTGAGAACTGCAACTAAAAACTGAAACCTGCATCTTTGTGTTTAGATTTGACTTTGGGGACAAAAAGTCGACCAGAAAGTTGATCTGTCTGAGATAACAAAGATGTCTGGATGGTTTATATGTAGCAGCAGATCAGAAATGTGTTTTGGCCTTAAAACATTTGGATCTTCATAAACCGACAGCAGGATTTTAAAATTTAACTCCTGACTATGGAGTGATGTGATTGAAGTTTTTTCCTGCTGTAGACATCAGACATTTGATTCTTGATTATTCTTCAGGTAGGCTGACGAGGTCATTGTTGTTATTTTTGTGGCTGTTGAGATTCATGTCTGAGTCCACGACCACACCGAGGTTTCTGGTTTGGTTTTTGGTTTTTCCACATCCAGTTGTTCAGCTGAGCTCTTGTCTGGGATTAGAGCTACCCAGTGGCATGATTATGTGAAGCTTTTTTGCCATCTGCATAGTTATTTTCAGATATTTTGTTGTTTTTTTAATCATCTGAGCTGTTGTTATAGGTAGATATTAAACAGAGGAGGCCCCAGAATGGAGCCCTGAGGAACTCCACAGGTTGTTTTCGTCCGCTGAGATCTGAAATTACCTCCAGATATAAAGTAGTTCCTGTCCTTTAAGTGTTATTCAAACCAGTTTAGTATTGTCAGGAAGGCCCAGACAGTTTCCCGGTTAATCTAGTAATAAGTTGTGGTTTGAGCAGATGCCAAAACCTTTGGCGTCAGTCTCCAGTGATATCTTTGGAGAAGAAAGCAGAAGCATTTCATGAGAAGAACGCCTCACCAGCTGTTAAACAAGAAGCTGTGAATGTTCTGATTTGGCTTTTTCTAGCAGCTGTGATTTAAAAAAACACGGAGGAATAGATTCCACTTAATGTCAGTAAATTCTCGACACAAATACGACAAAGTGAACCAGAAAAGAGGCGAGTTTCTACATCAGGATAACGAGTTTTTAGAGTGTGTTCATCTGAGAATAGCTGAAAATGTGAGAGAAGATCTTAAACATGCCGTGTGAGTTTTAACAGCCTGAAAATATCACAAAACTTCAAGTGACTTGTGGACAGAATGGCTGAAAATTTGTGAGAAAAAAAAAGGAATGTCAGCGACAAAGCTCAGCCATTTGCCAGCTGCTACGTCTCACCTCACAATTGTTGTTTATTTTTTTACTGTTTGTTAAGTTAATATAAAAGAAAAGCTGTCTGCTGTAGGACCAGATAGAAGTTTAAAGTAGTTTCTTGTGCCAGATGTTGCTCAGAATAAATGCAGAGTCTGATGGAAAAGCAACAGAACAGGGTTAAAAATAAAGTAAGTGAGCTAAAATAGGATTAGATAAAAAAAAAGGAAGTAATACCGACAATAATACCGAGGAAGTAATATTACACATGAAGATGGAACAGAAACTCTGAATGGGGAAGTGAGAATGTTAGAGAGCTCAAACACAGCAGGCTTACGGCTCGTTTTGCTTTTATATATATTTTACTTTTTCTGCAGATTTTATGTCAAACATGAAAATAAAGAGTCCTAATGTTTACTGATTTCTGTTCTCTGACTGGTTGCAGTGGCTCCACATGACCATGTACAACTGACCCGCACAGACTCACCAGGATCCACTCGCTCTGCCGCTTCTATTCTCGTGATTTTAAGTTTTATTTTTTTGTTGTTGTTGAATGTGTTAATGTGCAGCATTAGCATCAGAAAAACGTCTTCTTCTGCTGTTTGTTTTTCCTCTCGCGTGGCCTCCGGCAGTCAAACAGTAACGACGGAAACATCGGAGGCTAAAGGTGAAAGAAGTGAAGTTTATGATTCACTGAGACGCTGGAACTTTGGTTGTTTCTTCTCTCAATTGTGAAATTATTCGTCTAATGTCTAAATCAGAGACCCGAGGCCTCCGTCCTGCAGCCTGACGTGAGAACGAGCAGAAAAATAACCACGACAACACTCAGCTCCTACTCATCCCAGCTCCTCTGGTGGAATTTAAACCAAGAAATATAATAATATTTGTTTTCTTTTTTAAATCTTTCATGTAACCTGCTTCTGTTTCCACATCCACACCTTCTTACAAACTGATTTATTTGACATTTCATTTTACCTCCATGATGCATTTCTTTGTTAACAGTAAACGATCCATTTATAGTTCTGGATACATGTTTGTAAAAGATGTATATAACATGATGTGTGAATCAAGAATATAGAAAACAACATGAGAGGAGTGTTAAGTTCTTCTTTTGCAGTTTAATTCAGGCCGATTAGCACCGATTTGATTGACTTTCTGCCCATTTAGAAACAAAACAGTCGGAAGCACGTCTCAGGGTAAAAATGTGAAAAATATGAACTGAAAACTCAAATAATTTCAGTTTTATTGACTTTTATTCTCCATTTCTCTGCTAAAAAGTTGCTTAACCTGATTATGCAAGAAGAGTTAGTTGTGACTCCTCGAACTCTTTCGCTAGCTGAACCTTCCCTCGTGGCCTCGCTGCGACTCAAACTCTCATTCGTCGGCTTGTAAATGCAAATGTCCGACCTCCGGGCCTCGGCGGATATTTTGAGAAGTGACCCAGTGTTCTGAGCTCTTGTCTGGAATGTGTAAATATCCGTCTTCCAGCATCGTTCTCTAAAGTGAGAGTGTGTGTGTGTGTGTGTGTGTGTGTGTGTGTGTGTGTGTGTGTGTGTGTGTGTGTTGGGCTTCCTGCTGCCGTTTGTGTTGCTTTAGATCAAACGGGCTTCAAGAACAGAGTGTGATATTTATACGTCAGACACGCCCAAACACACTCACCTCTCACTGAAGCCGCTAAACGGAGGCTTTTGCTTTTTATCTCTGCCTGAGAATTAAAACGCAAAATCACCACGAGCTTGAATTATTAAAAACTACGTGACAAACTCAAAGCGTCACGGGAACTTAAATTTACCAAAGAGTGACTTCCTGTTTTTTAACCCTTTCTGTCTTCTGCAAACGTTCCTTTTCTAAAGTGACTTCAGTGTATTTAACAAGTTTGAACGATGTTTTCAGAAAAGAAAAGGTTTTAAAAGCTTCACGTGTATCAGAGATGATTCCAGATGGACAAACCCAGAACGGTCCAGATCTGGAGAATCAAGGCCAAGGTGGACCAGCATCTCACTAAAACTCCTGATGGCAGGTTCTCCTTTCATTTGTCACTTGTTTCTATATGATGGAGATAAACCCAACAGTAAAAATTCCCTTTGAGCAGCACAGTGGCGGCGGCGGTGAGGAAAAACAGGAAGAACCCTCTGACAGAACGTCTGCCTCGACTGGTTGAGAAAAGACCAACGGTGAGAAACAACAAAGGAGAGAACAACGAGCAGGTTGGTGGAGCTCGTAGATCAGAAACAAACAGGATGTAAAGTTAATGACATGCAGCGTGAATACATCCTGAGGAAGGACAGGAGTCGAAGAGAAAACATGCTCCTGAGCATCAGCAGGTAAACGTGGAACCCAGCCTGTAAAGAACATGAGAACACCTGCTGGTGGTACGTTCTGGTTGTTGCTGCAGGTTTCATAGTTCAGGAACACTGAGGAGGTTGAAGAAAACATCTAAACCTTCTGATGTCGGCTTCATCCAAAGCAACACTTATACAACTAGTTATACTTCTTAGAGTTGTATACATGCACAGGAGATGTTCCTCAGCCTTCATAACATCAGTAGGTCTATGTGGAACCCAACCTGTTCAGTCACTCTATAGACATCACGAGAACTCTGTTGGTTTTATGTTCTGGTTTATCTGAAAGTTCTCATAGTTCAGGTTTGCTACGATGCACTGAGGAGGTTGAACAAAACATCTAAACCCTCTGATGTCCGATTCATCCAAAGCAGCATGTTCGAGCTTCTCTACTCTGTTTGATCCTGATGCTGCTTGTGAACACCACAGAAGCACAGTTGACGGTGTTATTCTCAGGTTTTGGACATTTTGTTGATTTAATGTTCATGTTTTTGATGTTTGGGTGTAATATTATTCAAGTTCTGGACGTTTTGCTTGAAAATATTTAGGTTTTTGTGCATTAACATTCAGGTTTTTGCTGATGTTTGTGCATTAACATTCAGACTTTTGATATTTTGGTGTGTTCATTTTCAGGTATCTAACATTTTGGTTAACTGGAATAATATCACACCCAAACATCAAAAACATGAACATTAAGGCAACGAAACGTCCAAAAGCTGAAAATTGAGGTACAAAAATACATCAAAACGTGATTATTATCATACAAAACTTTAAAAACCAGGATAGTATCACAGCAAAATGTCTAAAAGTTAAAAAATACATTGGACATTTTGCTTTAAACTATTCAGGCTTCTGATGCTTTGGTACATAAAATTTGAGTTTTGGACAGTTTTTGTGCTTTAATTTTCATGTTTTTGACGTTTTGCTGTGTTCATTTTCAGATATCTAAGATTTTGGTTAAATATTTTTTTAAGTTTTTAACATTTTAGTGTGATATTATCCTGGTTTTTGACATTTTGGATGATATACTTCAGGTTTCTGATGTTTTATTTGCACATTAATTTTCAGCTTTTTGATGGTTTTGGGTGCGCTAATATCCAAGTCAGAAAGTATAAAGTCTTGAGTGTACTCTGCACACAGAAAGCTGCCGTTAAACTACTTTCTCGTCTGTTTGGAGTCTTATCTGTGACGTTATTTACAATCAGGCAGAGCTCAGACTAAATGGACACTTCCTGCACCTTCTAATGGATTCATGAGATCCTGCAGTGCAACAAACTAAACCTGTTTCCTCATGTCGTCCGAAGTTTTCTCACTTATTCATGTGTTTATTTCCCCTGTGAGCGCCGTTAGAAGTAATAATTCTGCTTCCACTTGTGTATGTTTTTGTTTTCTGTGTAAAAAACCCATTAAAAGCCACAAAAACAGTCGGTTCACGAGTCACCTTCCTGCTAACGAGCTGCTGGCTGTTGTGACCAATCACAGGTCCGAGGCCCGGCGCTGCTGCTGCAGGCCGCCGTGACGCTGATGGTCCTGGACAGACTGACCTACTTCTGCTGGAGGATCCTGCAGCAGCTGTAAAACACCGCCGAGGCTCTTCTGGTTTATGATGCTGCTCCTCGGGTCAGCGGTTCTGCTAGAGGTCGGACCAGAACCTCTTCAGGGTCACGGGCTCAGCGTGAATCAGCTGCTGAGGATGGATTCTCCTCCTCCAGGCCGTTTGTCATCACAGGAGGCCGAGGCTCTGCTCACTGCTGCCTGTTTTAAACACCAACCAGGAACTAATGAGTTGATTTAATGTGAATATTTTTGTTTTCTGTCAAGTTGAGCAACTTCTGGATCCATGACATCATCTTATCAGGACACACAGCTACATGTACGTCACTTAAAGGAGAATTCTGTTGTATTTCAGCTGCATGTGTTTCATAATTCTGTGTCTGTTGTGTCTCTGTGGATGAAGGAATAAACGAGAAACAAGGATAAATAAATAAATCAGATCAACAAGCTTCCTGCAGCTTTACAAGAAACACCGGAGTACACGAGCAAATCAAACCAGCACCAGTGAAGGCGATTTGTTCAGCCGGCTGGTTAAATGTAGAAAAAAAAAGTGATTCCAGGAAGTGATATGGAAATAAAACAGCATTTTAAATGATTTATATAAAAGTCAGGTGTTTTGGAAGCGACTGTGAGCTCAGCGTGTTGATCCGATATATGATGTTTGGTCAAAATCTGCCTCCTCAAACCAGCAGAAGAACTCATTAAAGTCATTAATTAGCAGATTAAATTAAACCAGAATGTGTTTTTACTCATTTATTCACCACAACTTTCACTCTGATGCACTTTGAAGTCAAAGTCGCCTCTTTAATGTCTGGATTTGTTTCTGTCGGCTGGTTCCTCTAATTATCCTCAGTGTTTGTTCACTTTGTTTGTTTTGTCTTTTAATATTTTTATTGCCTTTGTTTTTTAATCTACGTCTGTTTGCTGAGATCTTTTATTTTCATACTCGGCCACATTATAAACCAGGCCTTCAACCTTCATGTAGTAAAAGTTTAAATGAAGACTGAACAAATGAACATATTTCTTCTTGTTTCCTAACATATATTTAACACAGCACAGTTTGTCATACTTCAAAAGTCCTGACCCAATAAAATATAACCTCCTTTATACTTTATTTTTATAGTTTTAGGTTTAATTTTTAGGTTTTATCTTCTTTTTAAAACATTGAACTGTGTTTAAATGTGTAACTGTTGGATCATGTTTGCACCTCACTGTGTTGTTTGTATGTTTTCAGAGCAGAACGTGTTTTAATTTGTGAGCTAATGATTTAACTAAAGTAATAAACTTTTTCCAGTGTTTTCCTGTGATTTTACAGAACTTTTCTCTTTCAGTTTGGATCAGTTTCTTCTCTCCTTCCATCCAGAGGCTCTGTGGACCATTAAATCTGCTCCAGTAGATAATTTATTATTCATCATTAACTCAGATAATTTATCTGAGTTAATCACAGCGATGACTGAACGTATATGTGACAGATTCCAGCCGAAGCCTGCAGAGAGAACAGAGACAGTCACTTATTGTCTTGTGTTTGTTTAGCTGCTCATGGTTCGGATGTTTCACATTTATAAAGCCTCATTGTTTCAGCAGCTCACGTTCAGATGCCTTCATGAATATTCATGAGCTGTCTGGGCCTGCAGGAGCTGCTGGAGAGGAGTCGACTTCACACTGATTCACACAAGGAGGCAGCACAGGAGGCCTTCACAATAAGACGACCTGGGCCGAGGAGGAGAAACTCAACAACACTGCACAGAAAGAAAAAGCCTCACGCTGGCGTTCAGAGTAAAGCTGCGATGAATAAAAAGACCAATGTTAAAGGTTGTCAAGAATATAGAAATTATTAGGACATTAGAAACTATTAAATAAAGAATAAAATAAAATAGTTATTGACACACAAAAATGTCTACAGATAGAAAAAAGACCCAATAAAAGAATAATAGAGTTTAAAAAAATACAAGATAAAACTCTGTCAATAAATAAAACAGCCAAATAAAAAACAATAAATTAAATAATTATCAACACAAAAAATTGTGTAAGAAAAAAAAGACATATATAAATGTAACATTTTATTTTTTGATTAAGCCAAAATATTTTTTAAAATGTGCATGTGTATATATATGTGTGTGTGATGGTCATGTTGCTTGTACATGTTGTTAAATCAAAGCTAAATTAAGCTTAAAGGTGAACAATAAAAATAAAAATAATTCAGGGAAAATACACAAAAAAATGTGAAGAAAAGATAAAATAAACTGGCTACAGATTAACAAAAAAAATTAAAATATTGTGTGACTGCCGCGCCTGTTTTAAATGTGACAAAGTCCTATAAATTAATAAAAACAAGAAAAATAAAAATAATTAAAGGAAATGCAAAAAAAAAAGTTTAAAAAAATGCTTAAGATGAACAAAATATTTTTTAAAAAATACTGTGTGATTTCCATGTCTTTTTTAGATGTGACAAAAAGTCCTATGAATAAATAAAAACAACAAAAATAAATATAATTAAGGGAAATGTAAAAAATGTAAAAAAAAAATAAAAACAAATAAAGAAAAAAAAAGAAAGGGAAAATACACAAAAATATGTATGGAAAAGGGTTAAAAACTGGGTTAAAGATGAGCAACAAAATTGAAAATATTGTGTGACTGCCGCGCCTGTTTTAAATATGACAAATATGAAAATAAAATAAAATAAATGTGTTTAAAGTGAACAATAAAAATAAAAATAATTCTGGGAAAATACACAAAAAAATGTATGGAGAAGATAAAAAACTGTACTAAAGATAAACAATAAAAATAAAAATAATTCAGGGAATATACACAAAAAAAATGTGAGGAAAAGATAAAATAAACTGGCTACAGATTAACAAAAAAAATTAAAATATTGTGTGACTGCCGCGCCTGTTTTAAATGTGACAAATAAAGTCCTATAAATTAATAAAAACAAGAAAAATAAAAATTATTAAAGGAAATGCAAAAAAATAAAAAAAAGTTTAAAAAAATGCTTAAGATGAACAAAATATATAAAAAAAATACTGTGTGATTTCCACGCCTTTTTTTAGATGTGACAAAAAAGTCCAATGAATAAATAAAAACAACAGAAATAAACATAATTAAGGGAAATGTAAAAAATGTAAAAAAATAAAAATAAATAAAGAAAAAAAAAGAAAGGGAAAATACACAAAAATATGTATGGAAAAAGGTTAAAAACTGGGTTAAAGATTAACAACAAAATTTTAAATATTGTGTGACTGCCACACCTGTTTCAGTCATGTCAAATAAAGTCCTGTAGAATTATTTAAAAAAAAAAATAAAAAATTTTATGTGTTTTCTGTGAATAATAAGAATAAAAATAATTCAGGGAAAGTACACAAAAAATTGCATGGAAAAAGATTTTTAAAAAACTGGGTTGAAGATGAGCAACAAAATTTTAAATATTGTGTGACTGCCGTGCCTGTTTTAAATATGACAAATATGAAAATAAAATAAAATAAATGTGTTTAAAGTGAATTATAAAAATAAAAATAATTCTGGGAAAATACACAAAAAAATGTATGGAGAAGATAAAAAACTGTACTAAAGATGAACAATAAAAATAAAAAATATCATGTAATTGCCACGCCTGTTTTAAACGTGACAAATAAAGTTATGTAAAAATAATAAAAACAACAAAAATAAAAAATAATGAAGGGAAACACAAAAATAGAGAGAAAAATAAACATGTTTAAAATGAGCAATAAAAGTGAAAATAATCAGAGTAGAACCCAGTAAACCAGTCCTCGGTTCTGTCGGGACTCAGCGCAGATTACTGTGAAAGGAGGTCCGGATTGCGGCTGCGCGCTGCGCGGCTCCGAGGAGCGGCCGGTTCCTCCCAGCAGCCTCCGCGGCTTCAGCTCTTCTCGTCCCCGCGGCGGCAGCAGCGCACACCGGATCCTCATCTCAGTGAAGACGCTCCACGGCTGGAAGAGAAGAAGGACGTGAGCCGGCTCTGTTCCCTCCCCATCCCGCCTCTCTTGACTCGGACCGTGTTCGCTCTTTCCTTCCCTCTTTTTTTCTTTTTCTGGTTCCCCGCTGACAGTTTTTCTGCGACGTGCTCCGGCTCCCGAACCCGACATGGTCGATTATCACGCCGCCAACAACCAGCCGTCGGCCGGCGGGGCTCAGACCTACATGGAGCAGGAGAACGACTGGGACCGGGACCTGCTGCTGGACCCGGCCTGGGAGAAGCAGCAGAGGAAGGTGAGTGAGGCCGAGCCGAGCCGAGCCGAGCCGAGCCGGGAGAACGGGGAGAAAATGGCAGTGGAGGGATGGGTTGGGAGTGGAGGTCAGAGACCGGCTCCTGTGAAGGGGAGCAAACCGAGGCCCGCGCTGGGGCACCGTGGAGGGCCTCGCTTTGCTCCAGAACCGCGCCTGGCTCTCCTCTCAGCCCGGTTTATCCCGGGTTAGACGCTGTTTTCATGCCTGTGAATCACCTCTGCCCGTTTTTTATCTGCTTCCTAGCACTTTTTTCCATCTCGGGGCGGAAACAAGGCGCCGCATTGTTGGAAAAATCCACGCCGAGATTGTGGCGACGTTCGTGGCTGTAGATTAAACGAATCTCACGGCGGTTTTCAGAGGTTTCTGGGCGGAATCCGGGCGGCTGGTCCCACTAGTCCGCCTGGTTGGAGGCCGATAAGACGGAGCGAGGCGAGGCGAGTTTGTGCTGTGAGACGTGACCGATACTTGGAGGCCGATATGGAGATAATGTGGCTGAAGTGATTTCTCCAGGAAATCAGCTTTAAGGCGAGTTATCTGTGATTTCTCTTGTTTTGGAGCTTTGGCTGTGGGACTCTGGAGCTGCGCCTGGGGAACGTCTCCAGTGAAACTCGCAGCCCTGTTGGTGAAATTCCTGTCGTGGTTTGCAACTTTTTGAAACTATTCGAGGCATCGCGGCTGTTGTGAAAGCGGCAGTAAATCAGAAGATGTGTGGATGTGTGGATCCAGAGGTGGTCAGGTGGAGCTGCAGAGGTGTGAGAGCCGATGGAAGCAGCTGTGATCGTGCACATTACTGCTGTTCCTGCTGCTCGCATTCCTCCCTCGGCTCTGTGCAGCCACACAGCTCCTCTGCTCGGAGCTGGACGCCCACTTGCTGTGCTGCAGGTTTTTATGCAGCAGCAGCTACAATAATATTCAGCTCAGATGTTCACAGAAAGCCTCTGAGCTCCACGTGTGCTTCTGGTTCTGTCTCCTCTGGGCTCAAACCAGCACCAGGTAGCTGAATGAGCTCCAGTCTTTGGTATTTACACCACAGTGGGCTGCTAATGTTCATCAATTAATCAATCAGCTGTTGATTATTATGGAAAATAGGAACAGTTTTGTCATTCAAGCTTTTGAAATCTGAATATTTTCTGGTTTCTTCCGCTGGATATTTGTAGTTTGTAGACAAAACAAGACACGTTAGAGACTGAACTGAGAGCCGATCGATCATTCTGATCACATAATGAGTAAACAGACTGAATCCTCTGATTCCAGCTCATTAGAAGTGATTATTTTGTGAATATCTTCACGTTGTGGGCGAAACGAGACATTTTCTCGCTTGGATTTTGGGAAACTTTGACATTTTTCGACATATTTGGACATTTTTTCGACCAAATCAATCACATTGATAAGAAAAAAAGACATTTCATCTTCTTAAATGGGATTATTTTCTGCTGTTTTTCTTAGTTTGTCACAATAAACTGAATTCTTTGGGACTTTTTGGGACATTTTTAAAGAAAAAGAGTCTAAATTCTCAAATTCCAGCTTCTCATGTTTGTTTATTTTCTGCTTTCTGTCCTGTGAGACAATAAACTGAACATCTTTGACTTTTATAGCTTTTATAACCCAAACAACTACTTAAGATACTCATCTGTAGTTCTTATATAAAACTACTTCTGTTAGAGATGAGATGCTCCTCACAGCAGCTCTTCACCTGCTTGCTGGCTCATTGTTTCCTCCTTAGACGTCCTACGTGTCGGATTAAACGCTTTTATTCTCTCTAAAGTCAGACTAGCTGAAGGACAGCAGCTCCCGTCCCGGTGAACCTCACCCACGTCAGTGAGGGAGTGGAGCCTAATGAAGCATCGTTTGTCTCGCAGCGTGGACTGATTGACTGAGCGTCTGATTCACCGACGAGCTGGATGACTGGAATACTTCTTAGTGGTGCGACAGCATGCCGAGCATCGACTCGCACATTTTTTATCGAGCCACTCAGCATTTTTTCTCACCGTCAGACATTCCTGCAGCCGACCGACCGGAGGGCTCGGCCGCCCAGTGTTTGTCTGCAGGGTCAAAGTTTGTCCAGAAAAGGAACATCCAGCCTAGAGATCATTAACAGAGCTAAACCTGGGCGGAGGTTCGTTCCTCGTCGGCAGTTTGGGAGCAGAGCAGGAAGGGAGAGCGTCCCCGAGCCGAGCCGAGCCGAGCCGAGCCGAGCCGAGCCGAGGGGGGGTACATTCCTGCGGTGAACTCACGCTCGCCGTGCCAGTTATTACGCAGAAGTGAAGAAATGCTTCCCGCAGGAATATGGAGGGGCAGGAGCTGATCTAATGAACGTGGGAATGAATCCGAGAGGTCAAGAACAGGAGCAGCGAGAGCAGAGAGGCTGCGATGCTGCGTTTTCTGATCTGTGAAGAGAGAAATGTGTAAGAAAAGATTTGTAGAAACACAGTGAAGTACTGTCAGGGTCAACAACTATAACAACAACAGCAAATATCTATAAAATATATATATTTATAGCTGATTTAACAAAAAAAAAGAAAACCAGCCTGAGTCGACCAAACTGCTGCACATGTGACCAGTTAATGCAAAAAAAAAGTTTGTAAATTAAAATAAAAAAGTATAAAATACTAAAACAAGGTATAGCAACTTGTAAAATCCAAGGTCAAGCTAAATTAAAAATAAAATACCGAACATTAGGAGCATTAAGAACAACCAAACCCCCAAAACATGCATCTGATGAGATTTTGCTTAAATGTCTTTTTTATTTAAATTTATTTTTTTGTACAGTAAAACAGATTTACATTACAGTTCTGACCTTTTTTTGTTATTATTATTACATGTAAATTAATGTTGTTTTTTCTAAGATTTTACCGTTTATCTGTAATTTAACAAAACAGGAAAAATTCTTTATAATTTTTTAATCCTTAATATGAATATTTTTACTTAAAAAGACACCAAATAGCTGTAAAATAATATTTAATTTAAAAAAATCAGATTTAAATAGTGTAATTTTCTATAAAATAATGATATTGTTTAGTGATTTTAAATAAAGTTAAACTGGGATGAATTACTTTTTGTAAAAATACAGATTTTTTTTAAAGCCTTTCTTATTTTTTTTAATTTACAGTTGCTTTTTTATATTCATGTGTAAACTAAAACTTTATTTATTTATTTATTTATTTATTACTGTGGTTTTACTTTATTATCTAGAATTTGACAAAACAGGAAAAATCTGGAAATTTCTCAAACTTTTTCCAGTAAAATCTCAGAAAATCTCTTTTCTTGTGATGCAGGGAGCAGGAAGCAGGAAAATCTTTTCTAGAGAAGCCACGAGGACACCCCCAAAGATTAGAATCGTCTTTTTTTATCTTTCCAGTAAACCAGAAAATAGAAAAATGCAGGTGGTGTTTGAGAGAAGCTGCTTGGCAGCTGCAGCCGGCTTCTACTTTCTGTTCTCGGCACCAGAATAACTCGTTTTAGGAGTCTCTGGTGGTTCGGCTCTGCACAGTTGCACCGTGTGATTCTGGTTCTCTGGCAGCGTTGGGCCTCGCAGCCTCTTTCCAGTTGTCCATTTTGCTCACATTTCTCAACACCCGGAGCAGAGGATCTGGACGGAGCCCAGCCGAGTCCAGCTAATTGCAGTTTGTCGAAGCTCCTCTGCCGACAAACGTGTCATTAAGTCTTCGCTGCTGCTCGGGGACCCGTCGAAACATGTCGGAGTACGCGGTGACGCCACCGGAGGTTTTATTGTAACCCTCGGCAGGCGGTGCATGCAAATTCCCAGCGACAGTTAGGCATAGTTCTCATGTCACGGAGGAGAAAGTACAGCCAGGTGGGAGGATGAGCAGTAAAGAACAGCGAAGGGCCTCGAGCGCTCGGCGTCACCGGAGACTCATGTTCCTATCTGTCAGGGAGACGACTGATTGCAGCGTGTTCGACTGATTGTTTTCTGTTGATGCACAAAAAGACAGAAAAGAAGATGTCGTGCATGTGAGTGAGAGTGTTTGTGATTTGCAGAAAGCAACATGTGTCGTGATCGGCGGCGTGCAGAAACGTTTCCGCTCATAAATCGGCTGTGGTCAGCGACTCCGACGTTATCTGCCTTCATTTTCCTACGACGACAGACGTTTCAATCTGTCGGCCTGTTTGCACTGAACTGATTGTCATGTGGCTTAGGAGTTGGCAGCTCTGATGGATGGCAGGTAGAGCGCAGAGGCTGGGTTTAATTTCCCTCCTGTTGTAAGACTCGGAGTCTGTTCTGACTTCAGGAGCCATGAAAGATGAATATTTTACGTTTCTAATGCTTCAAACGACACAACAAGACTTAAAATAATATTCACCTGAACTTAGAGCATCACCGAGTTGCACAATATAAATAAAACCATCTATAGACACTAAAATGTTCCCTAAATGCCTCACATGCAGGCTACTAGCTAGGTGACTATGGACCGAGAAGCTTCTAGTCTCCACTCAGTTACTGCAGCAGCTCTGACAGCTGAGAAAACAAAAATGACTTTAAAAACTGACCTTTCATGTGTAAAAATCTCTAATCTTCGGCTATATTCATGTTCCATAAATGCCTCACGTGCAGGCTACTAGCTGGGCAAGCTAACTGAGCTACTAGCTAACCGAGAAGCTTCTAGTCTCCACTCTGCAGCAGCTCAGACAAAAATGTGACAAAAAACTAGTTCGAAAAGAGAAAATGAAGATTAAATAAAGTGTTCTAGCGTCAGATTTACCAGATATTTGATCTACATGAGCTGTTTGCTGTTAGCTTAGCATTTTAAACATGCAGGCTGCAGTAGAAGCTAAGTCTTCTCACTGTTTTAAAAGAGTATTTTATAGTCAGTTATCCACCTGGAACCATTTTAAACATCAATATCGCAGTAGGTTGTGTTGTGGGAAGCCATAATTGTGATGATTATTCCAGTAATGGCGGTAAAACTCATGTAGCGTCTCCACCAGACTGCTCTCGGATTTAACTTTGCGCCACGTGTGAC